GTCAGAAGGCCAAACAGAGGAATTATGTCTGACAGAAGGGAAGAAATGACTGTGGTGGCCTTCTCAGACCCTGTGGGAAAGGCCTCTACCCATCCAGTGAATGTATCTACCCAGATCAAAAGATATCTTAGTTTTTTGACTCAGGGCATATGGGTAAAGTCAATCTGCCAGTCTTGGGTGGCGGCAAATCCTCTAGCTTGATGTGTAGGAAACAGAGGGGGCCTGAGATATCCCTGAGGGGTGGTAGAGTAGCAGATGAAACACTGAGAAGTAATTTCCTTGAGGATGGATTTCCATGATGGAAAAGAAATGAGAGGTTCTAAGAGATGGGCCATTGGCTTGTAACCCACATGAAAGAGGTTATGAAAGGATGATAAGATAGAATGAGCCTGTGAGGCAGGAAGGAGGAATTTTCCTTGATCCAAGGACCACTTGCCTTGAGTAGGAAGGGATTGATAGGTAAGAGTTTCAATGGGAGAATAGGTGGGAGTGATAGATGAGAAGGAAGAAAACTGGCCGTGAGGGACAGATATGCGAATACTAGCTGCTTCTTTTGCTGTATTATCAGCATAAGTGTTGCCTCAAGCAATGGGATCTGGTGACCTCTGATGCCCTTTGCAGTGAATGACTTCAGCTTCCTTGGGCAGTAGAGCAGTCTTAAGGACGATTTTTATTAAGGTGCGTTGATGATGGAGGACCCTTGTGTAGTGAGAAAACCTCTTTCTGCCCGTATAACAGCATGGTGATATAGGATGTGGAAGGCATACTTGGAATCAGTGTAGATATTGACACGTAGTCCCTTTGCAAGGGTAAGGGCCCAGTTTAAAGCAATGAGTTCAGCTTGTTGAGAGGTAGTGGAAAGGGGCAGGGCAGTAGCTTCAATGACAGATGTGGAAGACACTACAGCATAGCCTGCCCTTGCTGGTGACTGATGATTGGGCCTTGAAGAACTACCATCATAAACCAAGTGTGGTCTGGATTAGGAACAGGAAAGAAGGAAATATGGGGAAATGGGGAGGATGCCATATGGATTAGAGAGATACAGTCATGAAGTTCAGGTTTGGTGCTAGGTGTAAGGTGAGAGGATGGGTTGAAGTTTGTGCCAGGACACAGACTTTGTGGGAGTTTCAATGAATAGTTAGTACAGTTGGAGGAGTTAGGAGGCAGAATGTATATGCGCCAAGCGTGATTAGGAAAATAGATGTTGAAACTTATGAGAGCTATAGTGAGTAAGTGGGGCATGGGTTGTGATCTTGAGGGCCTCTAGAAGTATTGAAGCGGCAGCTGCTGCCGCATGTAGACATGAGGGCCAGCCTAGAACTGTGAGGTTAAGTTGTTTGGATAGGAAGGCTACAGGTCGTGGGCCTGGTTCCTGTGTAAAAACTCTTGACCGCACAGCCTTGTATTTCAGCTATATGTAAGAAGAAGGATTTGGGACGAGTTAGGGAGTGCTAATGTGGGGACTGTTTCTAGGGCTGTCTTTAAGAAACAAAAAGAAGAGTGGGGAAAGGACTTAGGGTCTATGGGGTCAGTCAGGTTTCCCTTTGTGAGTTTATATAGTGGTTTAGTTGGATTGCAAAACCTGGTATCCAAAGGCGAAAGTATCCAACCACGCCTAGGAAGGAAAGGAGTTATTGCTTTGTAGAAGTGGTTGGGGTTTTGGAGATTAGCCATACACAGTTAGCAGGGAGAGCATGTGGGTTTTGATGAAGGACTCTGCCAAGATAGGTAATGGATGGGGAAGAAATTTGGGCTTTAGAGGGGGATATATGATACTGTTTTGAGAATATATGTCGAAGGAGCAGGAGGGTATCCTGTTGGGAAGATTCATAAGAGGGGATGCAGAGGAGAAGGTTGTCCATATATTGAATAAGGTGAGAAACAGATGAACGGAAAGAAAGTAGATCATGAGAAAGAGTTTGACTAAAGTAATGGGGGCTGTCTCTGAAGCCTTGTGTCAGTACAGTCCAGGTGAGTTGCTGAGACTGGTGGGTGTCAGGGTCAGTCCATGTGAAAGCAAAAAGAGGTTGGGATGAGGGGTGCAAAAATAGTGAGGAAAGTATCTTTGAGGTCAAGGATGGAATAATGAGTTGTGAAGGGAGGTATTGAGGATAGAAGAGTATATGGGTTTGGCACCACAGGATGGATAGGTAAGACAATTTGGTTAATAAGGCAAAGATCCTGAACCAAGCTGTAAGATTTGTCCGCTTTCTGGACTAGTAGGATAAGGGAGTTGTAAGGAGAATTTGTAGGCTTTAAAAAGCCATGCTGTAACAGGTGAGTGATAACAGGCTTTAGTCCTCTTAAAGCCTGTTGTGGGATGGGGTACTGGTGTTGAGTGGGGTAAGAGTGATTAGGTTTTAATGGGATGGTAAGGGGTGCCTGATTAGTCACCAAGGAGGGAGTAGAGGTATCCCATACTTGTGGATTAAGGTAGGGAGACATGAGAGGAGAATTCAAAGGAGGCCTTGAATCAGGTAAAAGGACAGCAATGAGGTGTGGTTGTAGTCCAGGAATAGTCAGGGAAGCAGATAATTTAATGAAAATGTCTTGGCCTAGTAAGGGAACTGGGCAGGTGGGGATAACTAAAAAAGAGTGCATAAAAGAATGTTGTCCAAGTTGGCACCAGAGTTGGGGAGTTTTAAGGGGTCTAGAAGCCTGGCCGTCAATACCCACAACAGTTACGGGGGCAAGGGAAACAGGCCCTTGAAAAGAAGGTAATGTGGAGGGGGTAGCCCCTGTATCGATTAAACAGGATATGGACTTACCCTCCACTGTAAGAGTTACCCAAAGCTCGGCGTCCATGATGGTCCAAGGGCTTCCAAGGCAATCAGGCAGCATCAATTTTCAGCTGCTAAGCCAAGGAGATCTGGGAAGGAGTCAGGCAAGGAACGCTGGGTTTGAACTCCAAGAGCTTTAAGAGTGGCAGCGATGTGAGTTAGAGAGTCTGACTTCCAGTGGGGGCCCACACAGGGGTTTCAGCGTGTTAGGAGCCCCGGGGAGCTGCGGCTTAGATGTTCTGAAGGTTTTGTATGCTGGAGAAGTGGTTGTGGGTTGTCTTACAGTGGAGGCAAGCAGCTATAACTCAGAGATACGTTGCCACTTTGCAGCTGCTTTTCTGTTATTGAACACCTTGAAGGTGAGGTTGATTAAATCCTATTGTGGGATTTGAGGGCCAGAATCCAACTTTTGGAGTTTTTTTCTAATGTCAGGATTGCATTGGGTCATAAAATGCATATTAAGGATAAGGCGGCCTTCTGGACCCTCTGGGTCTAGGGCTGTAAAGCATCTAAGGGTAGCTGCTAAGCGGGCCATGAACTAGGCTGGGTTTTCATTTTTACCTTGGGTAGTTTCCTTTAGCTTGTCATAATTAACAGCTTTGTATGCTGCCTTTTTGTGCCCCTAGACTAGGCAGGAGACCATGTAATCTCACCTAGCTATACCTGGGGAGTCTGTGTGGTATTGCCAACAGGGATCCTCTCGGGGAACTGCCCTGGTGCGCTCTTGGAGGCCTGGCTCATGAAGCTGGCAGGTGTCTGCATAGGACGGGGCTAGAGAATAAACTCTTTCTCATTTATCTGGGTAGAGGGTAGAGGTCAGGATGACATTTATCTCACTCCAGGTTAAATTGAAGGACTGAGTTAGATATTGGAATTCCTGTATATATTTATTGGGGTCTGATGAGAAAGAGTCTAAATGCTGTCTGATTTGGGAAAGGTCTGATAGAGAAAAAGGCACATGAACCCTGACTATGCCTTCAGCTCCAGCCACCTCTCTAAGAGGAAATTGTTGGGCAGGTGGAGGAGAGCTAGTCATGGAATGAAACTGTAAGCCTGACCGGGTGTGAGGAGGGAAGGTAATAGAAGGGTTATAGGGTGGGAGAGTGGAGGCTATAGAAGAATTGGGACCTGATTCAGCCTGGCGAGGAGTGGCCAGGGGAGGAGAAGAGAGGTAAGAGGGGTCAGTGGAAAAGGAGGATTCAGAGGACTCTGAGTTTGGGGTGGAGACCAGAGGAGCGGATGGGAGAGAAAGAAGGAAAATCTGGGACAAGTTGCATTGGGAGCAGAGACTAGGGAGGGAATGAAGTGTAAAAAAATGCCTGGACATAAGGCACCTTGGACCATTTGCCCATTTTTTGACAAAAATTATCTAGGTCTTATAGGATAGACAAATCGAAAGTACCATTCTCTGGCCACTTGGAACTATTGTTGAGTTCGTACTGGGGCCAAGCAGTATTACAGAAAAAATAAGATGTTTAGGTTTTAGGTCAGGTGTTAGTCGAACGGGTTTTAGGTTTTTAAGAACAGAGGCTAAGGGGGAAGAGGGAGGAATGGATGGCAGAAAGTTACCCATAGTGGAGAAGGTAAGTTTAAAAAGGAAGGTAGAGACATGGAGAAATGGAGGTGGCAGCTACAGACTTCCAGTAGGCGTCCCTGACTGACTCCTGGGCTGTAATGTGGGTGAGCAGCCAAAGCAGGCATCCCCACAATTGACCTTCCACCAAGGGAATGTGAGTGAATGATCAAGGCAGGTGTCCCCATGGTGATCAGACACCAAGGGAAGACTGTCTTCCCAAGTCCATGACCAACATTGGAATTTTTGAATGCACGGATGAAGTGTATCTCCTTTTTGTCTCTACCAGGAAGGGAGAGGAACTGAAATTGAAAGGAAAGAGATTGAAGGGAGGTGAGAGAGGTTAGGTAGAGAGTGAAAAAACCGCTCACCCGAGTGTGAAGAACTGCTTACCGATTTGGAATTGGTGAGATGGCCCTTGGGCTGGCTGGTCTGATGACCCGAGGTCATAGGTGGATCTCCTCACAGAGGGAGCGTGAGTACAGGGGACCAGTCTCTCGAAGGAGTTCCCCTGTCCCGGGTCTTTGGCACCAAATATTATGCATGTCCGTATAAGAGACCACCTGAGTAGGCTTAGTGTGAGCAACAAGGCTGTTTATTCACTTGGGTGCAAGTGGGCTGAGTCCGAGAAAGGAGTCAGCAAAGGGTGGTGGGATTATCATTTATTCTTATAAGTTTGGGATAGGCGGTGGAGTCAGAAGCAATTTTTTGCAGGCAGGGGATGGATGTTACAAATACATTCACAAGGGCAGAGAGGAATGTTACAAAGTACATTCACAAGGGCGGGGAGCATGTATTGTCACAAGGGTGGGGAGGAATGTTAGAAACTACCTTCACAAGGATGGGGAATATCACAAAGCATATTATCACAAGGGTGGGGGAATGTCACAATGGCTTGACCACGGTGCGGCCAGCTCAGAGGACCTTACAGAGCTTACTCACTATACTCATCCTACTCCACTGCAAAAACATGCCATTCCTATTATTAGGGGAAAAAGAGACTTAATGGCTTGTGCCCAAGCAGGGTCTGGGAAAACTGCAGCATTTCTTTTACCCGTACTGAGTCAGATATATATAGATGGTCCAGGAAAAGCTTTGAAGGCTGTGAAGGAAAATGGAAGGTATGGGTACCATGAAAAATACCCAATCTCCTGGGTTTTAGCCCCAACAAGAGAATTGGCTGTACAGATATGAGGAAGCCAGAAAATTTTCATACCAGTGTAGAGTTCATCCTTGTGTAGTTTATGGTGATGCTGATATTGGTCAACAAATTCAGGTCTTGGAACATGGATGCCACTTGTTAGTAGCCATGCCAGGACGTCTAGTGGATTTGATGGAAAGAGGAAAGATTGGATTAGACTTCTGCAAATACTTAGTGTTGGATGAAGTTGATAGGATGTTGGATACGGGATCTGGACCTCAGATACATTGTATACTTGAACAAGATACTATGCCACCAAAGGGCATTCATCACATCATGATGTTTAGTGCCACTTTTCCTAAGGAAATACGATGCTTGCTCGTGACTTTTTGGATGAATATATATTTTTGGCTGTAGGCAGAGTAGGCTCTACCTCTGAAGTAGTTTGGGTGGAAGTAGTTTGGGTGGAAGAGCCAGATAAACGGTCATTTCTGCTTGATCTCTTAAATGCACCAGGGAAGGATTCACTGACTTTAGAGTTTGTGGAGACAAAAAAGGGAGCAGATTCTCTGGAGAATTTCTTATACCATGAAATATATCCTTGTACTAGTATTCATGGAGACCAATCACAGAGAGATCAAGACGGAGGCCCTTCACCAGTTTTCCTTGGGGAAAAGTCCAATTCTAGTGGCTACAGCTGTGGCAGCATGAAGACTAGACATTTCAAATGTGAAACATGCTTCAATTTTGATTTGCCAAGTGATATTGAAGAATATGTGCCTTGTATTGGCTGTACAGGATGTGTGGGAAACTAGGGCCTTGCCATCTCATTCTTTAATGAAAGAAATATGAATATTACAAAGGATTTGCTGGATATTCTTGTAGAATTTAAACAAGAAGTGCCTGCTTGATTGGAAAACATAGCTGATAAACACCACAAGGGTGGTATTCGTGCATGATCTAAAAGATTCAGTGGAGCATTTGGTGCCAGAGACTATTGACAACGTAGTGGTTCTGGCAGTTCTGGCTTTAGTAGTAGTCATACAAGCAGCAGCTGCAGTGGTGGAGGTGGTCATGACATCAGCAGCAGATGTGGTAGAGGTGGCTATGGAGGCTTCTACAACAGTGATGGATGTGTAGGAAATTATAACTGTTGTTATAAGAGTTACTAAGAGCCAGGCGTGGTGGCTCACGCCTGTAATCCCAGCACTTTCGGAGGCCGAGGTGGGCTGATCACGAGGTCAGGAGTTCGAGACCAGTCTGGCCAAAATAGTGAAACCCCGTCTCTACTAAAAATACACAAAAAATTAGTCCGGCGTGGTGGTGTGTGCCTGTAATCCCAGCTACTCAGGAGTCTGAGGAGGAGAATCGTGTGAACCCAGGAGGCAGAGGTTGCAGTGAGCCGAGATCGTGCCACTGCACTCCAGCCTGGGTGACAGAAGAAGACTCCGTCTCGGAAAAAAAAGAGTTATTAAGAAATTATTTTAGGCAGATAGGAAAAGGGGTCCTTGGGAAGTTTTTGTTTCTTTTAGAGCAACTCCAGAAATTCGTGAGATGGTTTCTTATCTAGCAGGAAAGCCCTGGCTCTTAAAGCCGGGCCAGCAAGCTTTGATATGCAAATACCAGCCATCAGAAACTTGGCCCACCCAAACATGGCAATTCCTGCAGTCTTATTCTTGCCCTGGCCTCCACATGTGCCTGGCGACACGGCCACCCCCACATATCCACACATGTGTAAAACATCCTGGTGCCCTGTATTTGCATATTAAAAGGCTAGGGTGGAAGGGCCAGTTTTTTTCTCCTGCTACTTGAATGACATGCTTGGTCAAACCAATCCCCTGAGCCCTATCCAAATCAGACACCACCTCCTCCAGCCTCCTCATATAAGCAGCCACTTTTCTGTCACACTTGGGGTTTTTCTCTTTGTTCCAATCCCCCTGCCTTCTGTCTCTGTACGGGGGAGCTGTTTTCTTCTTCCTTCCTTCTTTCTTGCCTATTATACTCTCCGCTCTTTTTTTTTTTTTTTTTTTTTGAGACGGAGTCTCGCGCTGTCACCCAGGCTGGAGTGCAGTGGCCGGATCTCAGCTCACTGCAAGCTCCGCCTCCCGGGTTCACGCCATTCTCCTGCCTCCGCCTCCCGAGTAGCTGGGACTACAGGCGTCCGCCACCTCGGCCGGCTAGTTTTTTGTATTTTTTAGTAGAGACGGGGTTTCACCGTGTTAACCAGGATGGTCTCGATCTCCTGACCTCGTGATCCGCCCGTCTCGGCCTCCCAAAGTGCTGGGATTACAGGCTTGAGCCACCGCGCCCGGCCATACTCTCCGCTCTTTAAAACCACTCCACGTGGGTCTGTGTCATTTTATCTAAATTGACACAAGATTAAGGACCCTGGTGTTCCTCCAGTTATCGGAGCCATATCATTTTGATCCATTGGCCGGGAAACTGAGGTACAGCCTTTGTTGGAGCGGTATGAGAGCAAGCTTAAAATTTGTTCCATCATTCACAAGGTGCTCTTGGCCTCTATATTAAAATAAAATCAAATAGATCAACCCAAACTACTTTCTGTGTGATATTCTCAGATGTAGAGCCTACTCTGCCTGCAGCCAAAAAGATATACTCATCTAAAAAGTCATGAGTAAGCATCTGTATTTCCTTAGGAACAGGCATGCATCAGCCTAGTACATACACTTAGCATTGGCTGCCCTACTACAGACTCAGATGTGAGGCTTGCTGGTGAGAACATGGAGAACCCCCCTATTACCCATGAGTACTGGGAATGTTGGCCATGTTTTGAACTAGTTTCTTTTCACGGGGAGACCTCGCCATTGAGTAAGGCTGGGAAAAGTTCTGAGGTAACTGAGAATTTCTGGCCAGGGGACATCCTGGCATGATTCACAGGCCTCTGGACCAGACCCAGCCTCCAATAGCCTGTTCCGGGTGTTGGCAGAGAACCCTCAACTATTCTGTTGCAAAACTCTTCTTCCTTCTCTATCCGTGGCGTCTTACTCTATCCGTGGTGCAGGTATTTTTACAGCCTAGGAAAGAAATCCTGTTAGGCAAGATCAGGAAAATGCCTCTAGGAACACTTTTCCCCATTCCTCTGCAGTGAAGTTACTCGCTACCGCGTCTCTGGCAAGCACATAGTATTTCTAAGCTAACAACGCCACCTAGTGGAAATAGGAATCCTCTAGATGAGACACATTTTTTTCCTTTTTCTTTTATAGTAACTGCAGCTTCTTTTTACACCGTTAAAAATCAGGCTCTATGCTTCTGGAAATGGGAAGTTTCTGCCTTTAGCAGTTAGGAGTAAGATGCCTAGGGACCGGGCGCGGTGGCTCACGCCTGTAATCCCAGCACTTTGGGAGGATGAGGCAGGCAGATCACGAGGTCAGGAGATCCAGACCATCCTGGCTAACACGGTGAAACCCCGTCTCTATTAAAAATACAAAAAACTTAGCTGGGCACGGTGGAGGGCGCCTGTAGACCCAGCTACTTGGGAGGCTGAGGCAGGAGAATGGTGTGAACCCGGGAGGTGGTGCTTGCCGTGAGCCAAGAACACGCCACTGCACTCCAGCCCAGGCAACAGAGCAAGACTCTGTCTCAAAAAAAAAAAAAAAAAAAAAAAAAGTCTTCCGCAGCCAGATTTTATTCCCACTATTGTCCCATCAGTAGAAAAATGGCCATTCGGTTCCTACGTTCTTTTAAGGCACCTACTATGTCTCTGATTAAAACAGTACTTAATTAGTAAGGTAATTTTAAATTCAGAAGTTAACCGGAACCATTTTTTTTAAGGGTAAGTGCTTTAGCATGGGCTGTAATAGCAGGCAATCTAGCACATTGCCTCCACTAAAGGAGCCTTGCCCAGAAGTGACACAGTCTCTCCGGAGATCCGTTTTTCAGAGAGCCAGGCAAATCACACAGGTTCTAGAAAGTCAAAGGGAAATCACACAAGGTGGATAAACTAAGGCTGCATGGGTAAGCGTGGTTAGCCCCATCACTTAGCTCATCCAGTTCCATGGCTTGGAGGACCATGCCTACAACCATGGGGGGCATATTTAACATGGTGTCAGGATCCAGAAACCAGGGAGGGGAGACATTTGGAGGATACTCCCTGTCTTCTCCACTCTGGCTCATACAGAAAGGAGACTAAGAGGATGCTTCTATTCTTGCTTCTTTTCCTAAATGGGTGTCAGAAACAAAATGCTTGTTTCTCAGTGCCTCAAGGAAAAATCAGGATTCAGACAAAAAGTTTTCTCAGCAAGGCAATTTTACTTTCTGCAGAAAGGGTGTTGCTCATCACCAATCTTGTCACAAGAGCACAATGAACAAAGAAAGGCAGGAATATTTATCCCTTATGCATTGGGTCGTTACTGCTGCATCCTATTTCCATTGATTGGAGCTGGACCTCACAGTCTAAGCTAAACCCGATTGGCTAACAACTTAAAACTTTCCTAAATAGGTAAAGGAAATGGAGAACAAAAGGAAAAGAGGAAGTTGCTTGAGAAAGGATTTAGAAAAGTAGTAACATTTCCAAATAAGGAAGGGGCATAGGCTGCGAGCTGGGATATGCCTGAGCATGTCCAGAACAAATATCTTTGTTAAAGTACAAGGACTTAGAATGTGCTTATTCCCTTATATCAAACAGTTACATAGGATAAAGCTTAACAAAGAGTTATTAGCACAAAGGCAAGGAGGCTTGGAGGAAGTTAGTCTTTAAAGAAAATGATTATTTTTGCTGGGTGTGGTGGCTCATGCCAGCACTTTGGGAGGCCCAGGCGGGTGGATCATGAGGTCAGGAGTTCAAGACCAGCCTGGCCAAGATGGTGAAACCCCATCTCTACTAAAAATACAAAAATTACCTGGGTGCAGTGCCAGGTGCCTGTAATCCCATTTACTTGGGAGGCTGAGGCAGGAGAATTGCTTGAACCTGGGTGACAGAGGTGGAAGTGAGCTGAGATCAAACCACTGCACTCCAGCCTGGGTGATAGAGTGAGACTCCATCGAAAGAAGAAAGAAAGAAAGAAAGAAAGAAAGAAAGAAAGAAAGAAAGAAAGAAAGAAAGAAAGAAAGAAAGAAAGAAGAAAGAAAGAAAGAAAGAAGGGAGGAGGGAGGGAGGGAGGGAGGGAGGGAGGGAGGGAGGGAGGGAGGAAGGAAAGGAAAGAAAGAAAGAAAAGAAAGAAAGAAAGAAAGAAAGAAAGAAAGAAAGAGAGAGAGAGAGAGGGATGGAGGGAGGGAGGGGGGGAGGGAGGGAGGGAGAGAGGTAAAGAAAGAAAGAAAGAAAGAAAAAGAAAATGATTATTTTTAACATTTATTATTTATTCTTGAATAAGAAGGGAAACTTTGAAGAGGAACTTTTTACTTTTCCACAATGGGTAATAAATTATCTTCAGCTTACACCCCTCTGGAGTGCACTCTGAAACACTGGAACTTCCTTAACCTCAGAACTTTTTTTTTTTTTTTTTTTTTTTGAGACGGAGTCTCGCTCTGTGCCGGCTGGAGTGCAGTGGCGGATCTCAGCTCCTGCAGCTCCGCTCCGGGTTCACGCATTCTCCTGCTCAGCCTCCGGTAGCTGGACTACAGGCCTGCCACTGCCGGCTAGTTTTTGTATTTCTTAGTAGAACGGGTTCACCGTGTTAGCCAGGAGGTCTCGATCTCCTGACCCGTGATCCGCCCGTCTCGGCCTCCCAAGTCTGGATTACAGGCTTGAGCCACCGCGCCCGGCAACCCAGAACTTTAAAGAAAAAGCTCTTTTTTTTTTCTTTTTTGCACAAGGGCATGGCATTTCTACTAAATCTTTTCAAGCACTGTAAAATCAACCCAGCTCTTTTAGTAATCATATCAGGCAGGCCCAGGGAAAATAATTCCCCCAAATTAGAGAAGCAAGTTCCAGGGGAACCATCTGAGGATTCCC